AGGGCTGAATGGGAAAGACTACATGATGAGGGCTCAGAATACTTTAGAGGAGTATGCTCCAGGCTGTGGAGTGTTCTTCTCTAAATGTGTGGGCAAAAAGTATTCTGGGAAAGAGAAAGGCCAACTAAGAAGAGGTAGGTGCACAGCATAATCCTGAGGTGCACATAAGACTGCAAATTATTCTTATTCTAACAGCTAGGCTAGAAAGATTTCCTTACAGAGCACAAAATAGAATCCTCAAAAAGATATTCCTGAAATGAGGAAGGAAAATTAGCCTCATAATAAAGGCTACTTTGAACGCACATTAACAGATAATCAAATGTGACTATAACAAGATTAAATCCACCTCCAAACATCAATAATATTGAAAGGTGGACAAATCCAATATTTGATTTGTAAAATTCTTAATGGCTAGCACCTAGCAAGACTGCTAAGCAACAGGAAGAGCAAGCACATAAAGGAGGAAAAAATAAAATCAATAGAAGGAATAAAGATGAAACTCAGCTGTAGATAACTTGCCTCATGGGTATAAGGTCATGGATTTGATGCTCAACACTGTTTACCCTTCATCCTGGTAATTACAGGACAGGACAAGAGTACTAACAGAAAAGAGTTTAAAATATATTATTTTTTTTAAAGCTATATTCTGGAAGTAGAGGAAAACATAAATACAATTCAGACAAATGATAGGTAAGAAAAAGACTCAACCAATGGGAACATCCATTGAAACAATACTAGCAGTTGACAGTATACTGAATGGTGCTACCAATACATTAACAGAGAAGAAAGTATTACAGAAAATTGAAAAAAAGAAAGAAAAAAAATCTATAAATATAAAAAAAAATAGACTTCTTGCTAGAAATGACCAGGAAAAAATATGACAGTAGGCACAAAATCCCAGGCTGAAAATTAGAAGAGACACCACTAGAGATCCAACATTATGAATTTTAAAGAAATAAGTAACTTTATATAAATACACTGAAATATGTTGGAAACAGAAAAAAACAATTTCCTTTAAAAGCACAAACTACTAAAGTTTCCAAAAACAAAATGGCCTTGATAGCCCTATGTTAATTAAAGACATAGGACTTAGTGTTTAAAGCTTCCCTATAAAAAGATCCATAGAAATCAGGCTTTACTGGCCAACTCCATACCAATTTAAAAAAGAAAAAACAATTCTCCAGACTGTGCCAAAGTAGAAGACAGGTAACAATAACTGATCTCATGAGAACAGCATTAGCATAATACCAATACTCCTCAAAATCATTACAAGAGCAGCCGGGGCTATAGCTCAGTGGCACTGCACCTGCCTGGCAAGTGCAAGGTCCTGAGTTTGAGTCCCAGGACCAAAAAAAAAAAAAAAAAAAAAAGTACAAACAAACAAAACAGAATCATTATAAGAAAGTGTGAGACAAACACCATTCATATAGATCTAAACATATATAATGATTAGCACATCAAAACTAAAAATACACAAAAAGGACAATACACCAGGATTAAGTAGTCTATCTCCAAAATATAAAATTGCTTTACCATGAAAAAATCAATTAACTATATATTAATAAGCTAAGAAAAACTATAATTATTAATAAGAGACGTAGTAGCAAAGTCCAATATGCAATCATAATAAAGTCTAAAAAATTAAGAAAAAAAATAAAATAAAAAAATTAAGAAGAGGAATTTCCTCAATCTGATAGAGGTCAATTATTATAAAAACCTATGGCTTACACCCATGGTATTGATAAAATACCAAGTGCTTTTGCCCTTAGTTTGGAAGAAGAAAAAGAATATATAATTTGACTTCTGCTATTCAGGAAAAATCTTAACCAGTATAGTAAATAATGCAAATTAAATAAAAGGCTTTTTGGTAAGAAAGACTACACTACTCTTACATGACATAATGGTCTATGCAAAAAATCCAAAGGATCTGTAAGATTTACTAGAAATAACAAAATGAAGAATGCAGGGCATATGATCAACATACAAAAATGAACTATATTTCTATATTCTGGCAATAAACAATTAGGAATTAGGTCCTAAACCATTAAATTGGATCAAAAAGCATGAAAAACTCTGATTTAAGTAACAAAACATGCAAGATCCACAAACTGAAGTCTTTAAACATTATTAAGAAATATTACAGAACAAAATAATGGGGTGTTAGGCAGAGCTAATGGATCAGAAACATGATTAATGTCAAATTTCCCATTGATGATCTATAGATTTAATATAACAGCAATCAAAATCCCATTTGGCTGTTGCTGGTATATAAAGAAAAAATTTGTTTTTGTTTACTGACTACAGAAACTTCACTATATGTGCTTACTAAATCTTTTATTCTTCCATAGATGAGCTATTTCACACGTACAGTAATGTCATATGTCAGTAATAACAGTGCTAGCAATGCCTTTTGCTTTGCATATTTTTTAATGTTTTTGTCTTTCCTTAATGTAGGATAATGACTTGTCATAAATGCTGAGTATAAGTGGTAAAAACATGTATTATCGCTATACATTGATCTCAAGTTAAAGGTTGAGCATTTTATCATTAAATATGACATTTACCTTAGAATTTTTGAAGATATTCTTTATCAGATTAAGAAAATCATCTTATATCCTTGTCCAAGTTTTTTTATCATTGTTATTAAATTATATATATATATATATATAGACACATACATGAAGTAAAATAAATTCTGTAAATGAAAATATAAAGTGCTGATGGCAATGTGAAATAACCAAACTTCTCACACACTACTCATGGAAATGTAAACTGATAGAAATACTTGGGGAAAATGTCAATACCTTACTAAAAATGAACAGATGTACACCCTACAACACAGTAATTCCACTACTCAGTATATACATGTATGCTTAAAGAAAATGCATATATTTACCCAAACCATGTACAAGTATATACATTACAGCAAAAACACAAAATTGAATGAATATATTCACACAATGGAATACTACATAGCCATGAAACAGAATAAACTAAAATATTACTATTGTTTAACTCTCATTAGGATGTTCAGTGAAAACAGCCATTAGACAAGACTATAAAATTGAATGTGGGGGCTGGGGAGATGGCTCAGTAGGATAAGTGCTTGCCTGGCAAGCGCCAGAGCCTGAGTTCAATCCCCAGCTCCACCAAAAAAAATTTTTTTTAATAAAATAAAATAAAATAAAATTGAATGTGTATAAATTTCAAAAAGATGAGTCATGCTCAGAAAAAGTGACTAGAAGTGGGTAGGGTGATTCTGGTCATGGTCTTTTCTGGATTTAGGTGTGATTTGTGCAACAGTCTATACATAACCCATATATATATAATATATATGGAATATTTTAGAAAAAAATATATATATACATATATTTGAAAAGAAAAAAACATTGCCCCAAGGAAATAAACCTCGACTAACTGAAATTATAGATGCTATATGTTATATTTATTCATGCTGTTTTAGATACAGAATGAAGGCTTCTCTAGTATGATCTCACAAAGTTTGAAATTGTGCCTTTCACTTACTAAATCTATGGAATCACCCATAGATTTCATTTAAGAGTTACCACGTTTTTAGTATGTGCAAGATTAACCATTGGAAATAAAAAAAAAAAAAAGATCTTGCACTGACATAAACTTTGTTTATATTTGTTACTTGACATAGTTCTATTAAATTTTCTCAGAAAATTTATTTAGACCATCTCCATGCTCTACCAATTTAACTTGCTTTTTCTTAAGACCACATTTGCACCTATTGTTTTGAAATTACTTATTACATGTTTTCTAACTCCCTAAAATATAAACTCTATTTAAATATCAGTTAGGTTTTGCTACTGCTGTAGCCATAGTACCCAAAATGATGTCTAGTATTAGCTAGTTTTTTGTTTGTTTGTTTTGTTTTTGCTCCGAATGCCTTCAGGGCAGGTTTGGCTGGCTTGAGTTGTGGGGATCAAACCGCAGCCACCTGAGCCTGACTGCTTTGTGGAAGCAGCCACTTAAAGAACTGAGCTAAGGGGCAGGCCCCCTTAGCTAGTTTTTAACAGTTGTATAATATTACAGTGGCCAGTCTGTTTCCCATGTACTACTTCTCACCGTTTCTCAATTACAAGCTTTTGGTGCTGTGTTTATGCATTTGGTACATAGCACAAGTTTTCACCATGCAGCTTTGACTCCTTGTGATCCTCCTGTCTTCAGCCTCCCCAGCGCTGGGATTACAGGCATGCGCCACCACTCTGTCTCTGTGGGCTCAATGCCCGCACAACATGTGGTGCCGTGTTTTGAACCCCAGTCCCTGCAGGCGCTTAGTCCACGGAGCTATCTCACTGGCCCCTTCAATTACAAGTTTTAAAGGGGATCTGCCTTATAATTGAAACTCCAAGTGTTCCAACCTAGTCTTTCTAGTTACCTAGCAACAGAAGAAGTTCTTGTGTAGGAATATTTACCTAAGAAACGTTTTGAAAGCAACTTTCAAGAAGCTATGTTACTAAGACGTTGAGGTCATCTTACTAAAACTAGAAAATAGAGGCAAGTTACATATTGTAATAGCCTAGATGTGAGAGCAAAAGAAATAGAGAACAGGAGATGCAGGAAAAAGCCAGAAAACAAGTATCAGGTATGAATGAATGCGCCAAGCCAGCCAACCAGCAGACATTACAAGGGCTCTCGTCCCCGACGGTCTTCTAGACTAAGTCCGCGCGGCTGCTCGCTCCGTCCGCCGTCGGCGCACCCACAGGCCCGGCGCGGCCAGGTCCCCGTCCGCACCCTCCTCCCCGGGCCCTGAGGTCCCCGACGGCGGGGACCGGGATTCAGCGACACCTAATTCGCCCACAACGCCGGGCACAGGGTGAACGCCGCAGTTTCCTGACAGAGAGACCTAGGTAGCGTCTCTGAGCGACAACTACACCGAATGTCGACATAAACGAAGTCAAGTTCCTTACTACGCCCAACCCCGAAGCACCTTCAACCAACGCCCTCAATTCTAAACCCAATTAAATACTCACCCGAACCCGGAAAAGTACAAAGAGCACAGACAGGCGCGCGTGTGTGACGTCACGGGAGCGCGTGACGTCACAGGCACGCGCGCGAACGGGCTCTGCGCATGCGTGCATGCTCATTAGGAGTTGCCCCCCCCCCCTCGGAACCAGCTGTGCCTTAGTTCCCACGTCTGAGAAGCCTGGGAGTCTTAACGCAATGCTACGGAGAAAAGGATGGAGTGGCCGGCGCGCCGCGCGGTGGGGGGCGCGTCCCGCCGGAATGGGAGCGGCTCCGCCCGACCACGCCCCTCGTCAGTGTCTGCTCTGTCAGTGGCGCGTTCAACCCGCAGCGCCAAGACCCAGGGAGAGAAGAGACCTGCGTGTTTCCTGGGAGATCGTGGGGCAGGGCTCTTTTGGGTGAACTTTTGCTTCCCCTGGGCAGCAAGTACCCAAGTGCATTTCAAAGAAATGTTTACAAAAATAATGTTTGATAGTTTGGCAATTCGCACAGTTTCACCAATGGATAATGCTATTTTCAGACAAGTTTGTAAGTTTGCAGGGCTATGATTTTGATATAATTAATAAGCCGTATTGTTAAATGTGAATCTTCTGCTACTTTTTAGCGTGTCTCCAATCACTGGATGTAAGCGAAACCATCTCAGTGTGAAGCTGTAATATGATAAGGAAATACACAAATATTTAAGGATGGTCGTATTTGCTTAAAATGCACATTTCCAGACAGAAGTAGTTACTTGTCAAATACCTATTTTTCCAATAGGAAGCACTCAGTGTTAGCCATCTTCCGTGGCTCTTCCTCACCTGTTGTTCTTGTGCCCTCCATAAAACATGGGTGACAACAGGAGCTGCCCACTGGAGGAAAATATGCTGAGAGATTAGGCCGTATTCTTGCTCCTCCTGAGGTCTCATCCAGTAAGAGTCAAGTAATGAAATATGAAATAATATTTCAAGAGGGGAATCCTATTCCTAAGTGGTACTCTTCTCATACACTTTGGAAGCTGACCACTTTAATCTCACCTCCATTAACAGCAATATCTTCTCTCAACATACTTTAAACATTTCTTTACCTATCATCAACATAATACATTTTTCTAAGTAGCCTTAGCTTATTAAGAGTAGAATTGTTTACTGTTATAGTCAGAGATCCTATGTAGTGTCTGATGCACATGCCAAATATTTGAACGAAAAAAGTACTCAGGAAAAATGTTTCTTTCCTTACATATAACTTCCACCCTTCCAGTTCACCCCAGCCTCACTACTCTACCCTGAAGCCCAGAGAAAACACTAAGGGCCTTTTTGTGGCTAGGCCAAAAGGACAATTTTAGTCTCATCCTTTGGCAAGCAGTTTCATTTTGCTGCTGCATGGTGCTAGTTTTCTCCTTTTTTCTCTATCAATTCTATCTTTTAAGATTTTTTTTCTGTTTCTCTAGCCAATAATGTCTACATTCTGTAAGAAGGGAGTAGGTATACATAAAGGAAATGTACACTCCTGCTTCTTTTTCTTTTGATTATAGCATGGACTCTTGAGTTTCTCAAGGATGCAAACACATATGGTGGATTGCAAATTGGTGGTCAACTTGTATCACCCAGCTGAAGTGAGTTAGCATAGCACTGGATGTGGGAGGCCCACCTGAGTATTGCTGCTGGAAGCCTAGGAGGTAAAACTCAAGAAAAAGGAAAGAGGCTGTTAGGGAAACTGTGGAGAAGCTGTTGGGAGCTCTGGCTCTCTTGGGCTACTCTGCTGCAGGACCTTGTCTTGCCAGCTTTCTGGGTGAACTTGGCTGTTCTCATTAGAGGAGGAGCTTGGGGCTTTGCTGTTGCTGAGAATAGCTTTGGTTCGCTTTGGGGAGCTCTGATCCTCACCTTGAGCATCATTTCCTGTCTGTGGGTGGGAAGATAGTGCACTGTTCAGTCTCCTGGAGAAGCATGTAGCCTTGGCTTTTTTGATGGAAACTCAGCTTTCCTCATTTACTTAGGAGCTCGGGACCTCACTGTTGCTGAGGATGGCTGTGGCACTTTTCAGGAGAACTCTGGTTCTTACTTTGAGCAGTGCTTCCTGGCTCCAGTTCAGATCCCTCAGCCTGATAGTACAGCTCATGCTTGCTCAGACTTTCTGGCTTCCACCACTGACTTTTGGGCATTTTCCAGTGAAGCTCAGTGAAACAGGCATGCATGAGACAATTATGAGTTCTAGGCCTCCAGTTGGACTTATGAGAGGCATTGTTATGAGCTCTAGGTTTTCAGCTGAGATCATGCTGGATATTAGGACCCAGACCTTCAGCTGAATTCTTTGGTCATTAGTGTGAGCAGATTTCCTGAACTCTTTGTATATAGATTCTTTGGGAGAACCATTATAAAATAATCTTATAAAATGTCCTGTATTATGTTGTTCACCTCTGAAAAAACAACCTATATCAGGACAACTTACTATACATAGATAAGTAACTTCCAATCCTTCACATTAGCAGTCAGTTTCTACAAATGAAAAAAATTGAACAGGAATACACAGTACAATTTAAGATATTGGGACAGATTGGATCAACTAGAACAGACACCAAAGACATACTACTACACAAACCATTGTTTTTCTGTACCTGTTGAAGGAGCATAGCACAGCTATGCCAAGGCTAACAATGTAGTGATTATTTCGAGTTACAACTTGTAATGACACAGTGAAACTATTTTATATGAAATCTATAGTTGAAAGATATCCTATTCTTTAAAAAGGTAAAATTGATCACTAATAAATAGTGACAAAGAAAAAAGAGTAGGTATTATTAGTTAATATGTAAGTGTAAGTTAAAAAATCATTGTAGTTCTAAGTAATGTAGAACTAATATGCAAATTTCTCATGTTTCAGCATTTTCCAATTGTGTTTTACTACTTATTTTGTAATGTATATTAAATTCAATTTCTTAGCCATCCAACACTTCTAATTAATTTTTACATTAACTTTGAGGTGTCATTCTTGTATTTTTATTTCATATTTATATATTTTAAATGCTATTGTAGGGGCT